CCTAGATGCCCATCAGCAGACGAATGGATAAGGAAGCTGTGATACATATACACCATGGAATATTACTCAGCCATTAAAAAGAATTCATTTGAATCAGTTCTAATGAGATGGATGAAACTGGAGCCCATTATACAGAGTGAAGTAAGCCAGAAAGATAAAGACCATTACAGTATACTAACACATATATATGGAATTTAGAAAGATGGTAATGATAACCCTATTTGCAAAACAGAAAAAGAGACATAGATGTACAGAACAGACTTTTGGACTCTGTGGGAGAAGGCAAGGGTGGGCTGTTTCAAGAGAACAGCATTGAAACATGTATATTATCTATGGTGAAACAGATCACCAGCCCAGGTTGGATGCATGAGACAGGTGCTTGGGCCTGGTGTACTGGGAAGACCCAGAGAGATGGGGTAGAGAGGGAGGTGGGAGGGGGGATTGGGATGGGGAATACATGTAAATCCATGGCTGATTCATGTCCAATGTATGACAAAAATCACTATAATATTGTAAAGTAATTAGCCTCCAACTAATAATAAATGAAAAAAAAAAGAAAAAGATTCATCATTCACTCCCTTGATTGTGATCTAGGGACTCATATCAGATCTCAGTTGCTGACAGTTTTCTTCACATCTACTGGAGAAATGTGTTCTTTGCAGGCTGAGAGGCCTCATAGTCACCCTGTTCTTGGGAAATAAACTAAAGACCTAGAGCCTCCTTCCAGCAGGGGAAAGGCTCCTAGAACTGTCCACTGTTGAGAAAATGAATGCAAGAAAAGCAATAGAGCCTAGAAAACTGGGCAACAGGCAAAATCTCAGTTGTCTTTACCAGGTACCCAGCAGCCATGGGTACACTTCTGCAAGACAATGGTCCAGGGCCATTCTCCAGGCTGCCAGTACAGAGAGTGCCTTAGACCCCTGCCTCCTTGGCACATCAGCTTCTGGTCTTCCATTTGAAAACCACAAATATTAGCACTCAGAGGAAGGTTACCTCAGTCCTTTCCATTGACAGGTGAAGAAACCTGAGGTCAAATTTGGAGACCAGACACATGTCATGCAGGAGAAAAAGAAAACAGATGTTGGGGAGGATATGTCAGGATTTCTGCCCCATTTCAGAATGGAAGGCTCTTCTGTGTTTAGTTTTGATTTTCTCCATTTCCCAAATGTTCCATATTGTTGATTCTGTTAGTCCAAAACATAGCCACTGTTCACCAGGATTTTTCTCCAGGCTCCACGTGGTTCCCAATATACCCAAAAAGCTCTATTAACTTCAAGTCATCCTGAGCTCTCCAAACATCCTTTTCTTTTCTTCATTTCAGAGTATGAAAAGAGAGCTGGGCTTCACAGGTGGTGCTAGTGGTAAAGAAAGTGCCTGCCAATGCAGGAGACATAAGAGACAGGGGTTTCATCCCAGGGTTGGGAAGATCCCCTGGAGGAGGAAATGGCAACCCACTTCAGTATGTTTGCCTGGAGAATCTCATGGACAGAGGAGCCTAGAGAGCTACAGTCCACGGGACTGCACAGAGTCAGACATGACTGAGCCACTTAGCACACACATAAAAAGAGAATCACCCCCATTAACTCATGTGAACCAGAAAAACATCATCACTCATAATCTTGCTCCATTTATAACAAGAGCAAGCATTACTGGATCAGTCCTATTCTTAGAGCTTTACAAACATAACTCATTCAACCCTCATCACAATCCCAAGAGGCAGGTGTTCTCATGATCACCATTATAAAGATGAGGAAGCCAAGGCACATTTACGGACATGTCCTAGGACCCATGATCAGTAAGCAGTTAGAGACCAAGAATTCCACAATGACTGGGTTCTTGAAGACCTGCTTAAAAGTCACTCTGGGTCCCATCCAGTAATGAGTTCTGACGTCCTCCCAGGTTCCTAAGCATGGCGCTCAGAAGGAAACTGTAACTTTCCCACCTGCCAGCTACTGTCACTGTCCCTTCTCAGCTCTTCTAAGGGCCTATTCTAGCCTCATCCCCACGCCCCAGTCTGCTGTGCTATTTCTCATCCACTGTGTTGGGAAATCATAACACTTGGCAATGGCATTCTGAATTTTCTAAAAGGCTCAATCAGTATCTATTAACTTCATCTCTTTCTGACTTTAAGTTCCATCTTGAAAAAATAAGTTAGAAATCATGGCAGAGAGATCCAGTGGGAGTTTGGGGCATTTCCACCATCCAGAAAGATCGTGGACTTGAGCAAAGCCTTGGACACAGATGCACTAAATCACCTGAGGCGTTTCCCACTCCTTCCAGGTGTGTAAGTTCTAGGCAGTTACCAGGGGGCAGGCCTGCAGGATCACTAAGGTGTTTGCCTGCAGTCTCATTTCATCATTTGCCCAAAAGGCAGAAAGGACTGCGGCCTGCCTTTGCCAGGGAACATGCCCAGAGTCACATGAAATCGGCATCTGTGAGGTTTCTTTGAGGGAAGTAATTTAATTAATTAATTAATTAATTTTTTACTTTTTGGCCACACACTGCAGCATGTGGGATCTTAGTTCCCTGACCAGGGATCAAACTCGAACCCTCTGCATTGGAAGGTGGAGTCTTAACAAATGGACCACTGGGGACCAGGGAAATCCCAAGGGAAGCAATTTAAAAGCATTTACCCAGAGGGTCCCCAGACTCAGGAAGCACTTCCACATGACTCAGGATTCTGTTTCTTCTCACATGGGCTCAAAGAGAATGTCAGATTCAACCCGCATACTCGCTTTCCTTCACTGAAAGGGCTCGACTCCTCTGCTTACAAGAAGTGAGTGTCATATCCTACCTGGTTCCTGGTCAGCATTTGCATCAGGGCAAACATTTCTGAGGTGGGACTAGATCAGCAGCATGGCCTCATTACTATGGTGTGCTGATTTGAGGAAGGAAAGAGTGGAAGAAATAGAGCTCTGAACCAGAGGGGAGCCAGACCCATAGTTCCTCTCTCCCTCTTTTGATAAACCACTCTGTGGCCTGGAGCAAATCACTTAATCTGTCTCAGTTTTCTGAGTGGTAAAATTGGGTCTACCACCTACCCTACTTTTATCTGTGAGCTGCTGGATTAAATAAGGTCAGCCGCTGGAAGCATCCTGAAACACTACCTCCTTCCAACAAGCCATGACAAAGGTTGTCTTGGTCCTTCCCTGTGTTTTCAGCCCAAGTCACTGAGAGTCTACACTTAATACTGACCACTAAGTCACAATGCTGGGTCATTCACTTCAGAAGCAGGAGTTGAAGAGACTCAGATCTAAAACTAGAAAACCATGATCAGGAAATAAGTCCCTTCTTGGGCTTGTGGTAATATGGTAATCCCTCACTTCTCCCCTACACACTGTTTCTTAGTCATTGCCTCTCTCTTGGAGACAAAAGAGGGCTACCAGTCTCTCTATAGGGTACCACCAACACGTCAGAACGTCTACACTCCTTGAGCCACTGATCCCTGCAAAAAAGACTCCTTTAAGCCCACAATCATGCTCCTTCACTGATACATTGATGGTAATAAGTCAAAGGCACATGAAACACTACCTACTTCCAACAAACCATGATGAAGCCTCACTTGGCCCTTCTGTGTTTTCAGCCTGAGCCACTGAGAGTCTGCACTTACACTGACCGCTAAGCCATGATGCTTAGCGGTCAGTGTAAGTGACCACAACTCTCAACCTCAGTAGACTTTTTCAGTACCCACCTAAAAGTTAGTCCTCAAACCGTAACAATCTCTAAAGACTCCAAATAACAAGCTACCAGACACTAGACAGAGGCTATATCTCATCAAAGTTCTAATAGGCCACCTCCACCTATCTTTTTGGTAAGAACCTTTTGGTCCCCCTTATCAGAGAGGTTATGGGTTCTTCCCCCCGCCCCAAAGTAAATGCCTTTGCCTTTTTTTGTTGTTATAACTTTAAATGAACACTCTCTCTTAAGTGGCAGACAGTCATCACATTTTCCAGAAGGAGAAATGGAAACAGCAGGAAGTCAAGTCATTTTGCCCAGTGTTTGCTGTTTTTCACAGCCTCAGCAATGAGGAGCTTTGCTTCAGTGACTCAAGACAAAACATATGTCCAAGGCTCTGATTCCAGAATTATTGAAAACCTGGAGAGGGAGCCAGCCAAGCTTTCCCCACTCAACTGAACCTGGCCACGTCAGTAAATGCCTCTAGGTTGCAGTTTTCCCATCTGTGAACTCTGGGCTAACGGAGAAACCAAAAGAAGCTGAGGCTTTGGCGAATCCACAAGAACTACACTACATTTCTAGGGATGAAATGCAACTTTAGAGTCCCCAAAAGCAGGCAAAGTTAACTGAAGATGCTTCTTTCTCCTCTCTCTCTAGAATTCACATCTTCCCACAAATAAAGCACCCTGAAACTCACAATACTCTACAGTGGTCCTGACTATGCAGGTGGAAAGCAGCCTGTCCCAAGCCCCACCGAGAGGCATGTTTCTGGGCAATGAGCCCTGCACAGCTAACTCCAGCCTTGTTATTCTTGGGTCCACTGACACCCTTCAAAAAAACTGCCAGCTTCCTCCCAGTCAAAGGGCTGAAACAGACACCATAGATTACAGGGGAGAATGGCCCAACAGGCAAAATTTAACCAATGCTCTCAGAAGCTTCTTTGCACCAGTTGGGGAGAAAATTAGGTGAGAATATAGGGGCGTGGTTGGAATGTTTTTCCCTACAGAGGGCAGCCAAAGAGTATAAACGAAGTACAGGTGAGACCTCTGCCTCTCTCCAGCACACTCCCACCTAACGGTAGGACCGGTCTTGCTAAAAGATGGAGCCCTTGGTCCTTGAAAATGTCCGGTGCGACCCGGCTGACGTTTGCACAGGTGTGGTCATCACGCAAAGTCTGTAGACGTTATTTTGACATTTAAAACTGTTAAAGGCCACCAGCAGCCAGTTAAGAATGAATATGGGTGCATATGAACTAGAGTGCATTAAAGAGCTGGCGTCTCCCACTGAGGCTCAGAGAGGTGGGGTGGAGGTCGCGGGGACATTACCTGGTCAGGTCAAGGAAGGAGTCCACTGTCTCTTTGGGGACCGGTGGGGGCCCCGAATCCTCCAGACCCAGGTCGCTGGACTGAAGGGTCTGAGCGCCAGATCCAGGTTTGATGATGAATGCCAAAGCGACCGCGAGAGCCGAGGCTCCTAGCGTGGTGAGGCCGAAGTAGGCGATGGCGATGCCGCCCAGACGCCCGAGAGAGCTGGCGTCGAGGGAGGCGGCGCCCGACACCAGGCTGCAGACCACCAGCGGCAGGATGATCATACGCAGCATGCGGAGCAGCATCTCGCCCGGAAAGGCCAGGTAGGTGACCTGTGTGCGATTCAGCTTGAGTCCACGCAACGCCGCGCCCAGGCCGGCACCCGCCACCACCCCGGACACCGTGAGCAGCACAAGCCCGTGGCGCCGCAGGAAGCCGGCGCAGCGCCCCGCGCGTCCAGCAGTGGTCCCGGGCTCGCCAGGCCCCGCTGCAGGCCCCTCCTGGGCGCTGTCTAGGTAGCCGTTGGTCTCGCTGCTTTTCTCCATGGCGCTGCCCGCGGCTTCGAGCTGGAGAAGGCGGGGGACTCGCGCTCCGGGAAAAGACTCGGCTCTCAATGAATGGATCCCGTGGAGCAGGCGAGGTCCGCTAGCTGTGCCTAGCAGGTTCTCGGAGTCCGCCCGCTGGGGAACCCCGGCTTTGGCGCTGGAGCAGATGCGGGAAGGGCCAGGACAGACGCGGGAGACCGAACTAGCGCCCCGGCCTGAGTGGATCGCGCCGCGCCCAGCCTTTCACTGCCGTCGCTGACTGAAGATGATGCAATGAGGGAGCTCGCAGAAGCGGAGAAAAACCCGAGCGCGGAGCGGTCTGGGCCCGCCCCTTCACACCCACCGCCCCGCCCCCTGGGGCTCCGGCCAATCAGCATCCGAGAGGCGCCGCCGCGCGCCTCTCGCCGGGCTCCAGGCCACCGGCGCGGGGGGAGGGGCGGCCGCGTTGGGGCCGCCGCCTGAAGCCGCTGGGGCGCGGGACGAGCCGGCCAGTCTCGGCCCCCACAGCCTCCTAGGCCGGCTCCCGGCGACGGCGGGGCGTGCCGCGGCCTGAGGGACGGCCCGGGCTCGTTGGCACCTGCCGGGGCCTCTCGGGCCGGCCGGGGTCTGGGCCCTCGCGGCCAGAGGGTCGGGGAGAACGTGGAACGCGGCTGCGTTCCTTGTCCTGGGGATTGGGGGAGGGGATGCCGGCACAGTGGTACTGTCGCTCCAGTGCCGCCCGCTGCTCCTGCGAAGGGGCCTCGCGCGGTCGGGGGGATCCTGGGCGGTCCTCCCACCACATCTTACTCCTGCGTCAAGTCCCCCAGTCTAGTCCTGTGTGGTTGCGTGCGATAAGCCTTCACCCGGCGCAGGCCTTGACGTTGAGACAAAGGATGGATGGGTGGGTAGGCAAATGCAAAAACCTTATCACCCTCCCAATAAGGGGTCTGACAAAGCTTTACTCGTAAGTGAAACGGGGTTATTAATCTAGCTCCTACACCCTGCCACTTCGCACACTCGTGTGCTGCTAGGCCCTTGGCCTGAGGCCACTTGGATAGGCCCTGGGTCGCCCAGCAGCTGTCTTCTGTTCTGTGAGCTGAGGACCGAAACTTGGAAAAGAAACAGAGCTCTCACCACCACTTCCAGTTGCGTTTGTTTCTACATTGTACCTTCAGTTGAAACAAACAGGCCACTGGCTTTTAACCTTTTCCGTCCCCTGATCCCCAGCCATCCCATGAAAGAAAGTGCACACACAGATTCAGCCAGCCTGCTGAGATGTTTCCCTAAGGTTCACATTAGGTTCGTTTCCTTTTTATTTCAAGTTTTATTTAACAACTGCTCTGGTCGTGGCAGATAGGAGAGAAGTCTCTGCAGAGGCGTCTTACTGTCACACTTATTAATTAGATTTTCATATTCTCTCTCTGCTTTTGAAAGGAATTGTTCTTTTAAGACATCTGTGGAAGGGAGGTCTTCTTATGTGTGGCTAACCTGAGTTAAGGAGGAAGACAGTTTACTATAGATCCTTTGGTGAAAAGGAGTCATCTTTGAACATGTGAGCACAGCTATCTGTGCAAATCATAATGCCTTAGTGAAGAACTCTAAGGAGCTGTCCACATTTTGAGACAGCAAGGATTTCATTGCTTGAAGCCAGACAGCTTGTAGGGTTTTTTGAGGGAGGGGGTATAAATCAAGTGAAGAGCTTACATATTTTTATCTGGTTTTGCAGAGCAAAGTTTATTTCTCTGTGTGCACTGAAGAAAGAGACACACTATAGACACACTCTCTATTTTGCCAAGCAGCCCCTCCCTTCATTTTGACTACCACTTTTATGCAAAGGGCTGTCAAATCAAGCTGCAGTAATGAATTTCCAATGGCCTGCTTTACTTCTCCACCTGGATATCTTGCAGGAATCTCAACTCAGTATGCTCAGGACTGAACTCCTACTTGTCTTCCTCAAGGATGCCTCCTTATCCTGCTGATCCCCCTATTTCTGTTACCAGTATCTTTGACTTCCCAGTCACCTCTGCTTGAAACCTCAGAATGACCTTTGATTCTTCCTGGTGTCTCCTCTCACCTGACCTATTGCCAAGTCCCACAGACTTTCCTTTCGCAATATTTAGCCTATCCACCTTTCCCATCTATTCTCAAAGCTGCCATTCTGGCTCAGTTCTTATTTCCACACTTCTTATCTTCACCATTGAGGTGTTCTCCTAATTAGTCTTCCCACCTCCAATGCTACTCTGTTCCAGCCATCAGGTGTTTTGTCTTACCCTAGGCCAATCTTCCTAATAAATAATATGCATGTTAGGATCTGGTTAGGCTTCCATCCAGAGGGAAAAAAATAAGAAGGAGCAAGGCCTTCTCCCTCTGAGAACACTTCCTAAAAGTTGCACACACTATTTCATTTCTATTTCATTCACCAGAATCTAGTTACATGACCACACCTAGTTTCAAGAGAAGTTAGGGAAGCAGTCCTAATTTGCACAGGCATTGCTATTGCTGAATCACTTCAGTCGTGTCCGACTCTGTGCCACCCCATCCCTGGGATTCTCCAGGCAAGAACACTGGAGTGGGTTGCCATTTCCTTCTGCAATGCAGAAAAGTGAAAAGTGAAAGTGAAGTCGCTCAGTCATGTCTGACTCTTCGCGACCCCATGGACTGCAGCCTACCAGGCTTCTCCGTCCATGGGATTTTCCAGGCAAGAGTACTACAGGCATAAACCCAGTTAAAAACTGGGGTTTCTATTACCAAAGAAGTAGGCAAGAATGATCTTGGAGGGCAACTCCTTCAGATCACTTCTTGTTCAAAAGCTGTCAGGGCTCCCACTGAAATAAGAAAATGCTTTCCATCCTGTATTCAAAACTTACCATGATCAGGCCTCAGCTCACTCTCCAGCCTTGTGCTCTCTCTGAGTGCGTGCTCAGTTGCTCAGTCATGTCCGACTCTTTGCAACCCCATGAATTGTAGCCTGTCAGGTTCCTCTGTGCATGAGATTTCCCAGGCAAGAACACTGGAGTGGTTAGCCATTTCCTTCTCCAGTGGATATTCCCAACCCAGGGACTGAACCCGCATCTCCTACATTAGCAAGCAGATTCTTTACCGCTGTGCTCTCTGTACGTGCAACAAAATCAGACAGTGCTGCTTCCACATATTCTGGCTTCTGTACCCAGTCCCAGTTCAGATACCACTTCTCTCCCAAAGCCTTTCCTAATGCCTGTTGCAATAAGTCTGCCTGCTGCTCATAGCTTTGGGGGCTGGTCCCATGCACTTCACAGCTGTGTTAATAATTAACCCTCCATTGGGAATGGGAAGCTCCCTGCACTGTTAGCACTCATATTGGGTATGCCTGTGGTGCTGAGTGGGAGAGCAGTGTTTGTGGGTGCCTTATGCTGTGCCACATGCATCTGTCATTTAACTAGCAAAAGCTCCCTTTAAAGAGGAACTGATCTGTTGGGACTTCTTACAAAGACTGGTTGCCTAGCAGTAGTACTGCCTACAAATGAAGTAAACCGAGAAACAGGTGTCCACTCATGTCCCCCAACAGCTGGCAAAGGGTTTCACTTTCTGCCTTCTTTTTCTCTCCTTATTTCTTTTTTTAATCCCCTCCATTTGTTCACCTATTACATTTATTTTGTCTCTTCATAATTTTTTAAAATTTATTTTATATTTTATTTTTTTATTCATGTGGCTGTGCTGGGTCTTAGTTGCAGCATGCTGAATCCTTAGTTATGGCATATGGGATCTAGTTCCCCGACCAGGGCTCATACTTTGTTTCCCTGCATTGAGAGTGTGAAGTCTTAGCCACTGGACCAACAGGGAAGCCCCTCTTCATAATTTTTCATTCCTCCTCCTTGTAGGGATTTAGTATCAATAAATCAATAGAGGGATTTCCCTGGTGGTCCACTGACTAAGACTCCACACTCCCAATGTAGGGGGCCTGGGTTTGATCCCTGGTCAGGGAACTAGATTCCATATGCTGCAACTGAGAGTTCACATGCCGCAACTAAAGACCCCGAATTGCACGATGAAGATTGTGCATGCTGCAGCTAAGACTTGATGCAGACAAATAAAAATAACTAATAATAAATATTTTTTTAAATAAATGAATACATATTATAAATCAATAGAAATTGACAAATAGATATTTTTATCTAACTTCGTATGTGATGACAGCATCATATTTTCCACATTGTTTCACTCAAATTGCTAGTGGCATCACTAGAATCACATCATCTGGTAGGAATTATTTTCTACCAAATGGAGTGAAAAAAGAAAGTTGTATCCTTCATCACAGGCAAATTTGGATTCTAGAGGGCTCCTTTTCATTTACTAAGAGACACCAGATATTTTAACAACCGTATTGAAAAGGTTAAATTTCTGTGTAATTCTTTCTACGGTAGCAAAACACAGCTTTGCGGAAAATCTATTGTAATTTTCAAAAATAGAATATTTGCTTTTCAAATAGATCAGATTACCTAGCAAACAGAGCAGGCAAGTTGAAAAAACAAAATAATAAATAAGTTCTTTTTCTCCCATGATGAACAACTTAGTTCAAAGTGGCATACTGGAATCAAAGTGTGGGTCACTTCTCAACCTGTAATCATTCCTCTAGGCTCCCCTCTACATCATCTGTACCCACCAAAAAGAAAAAAAAGGGGGGGGGTGAGGGGTAGGGGGCCATGAAGATGTCCCTAGAACCAAAAGGTCAGGCACAGACTCAGATAAACAATTTGAGTCAACACTAAAAGGGAATTTGGTCAGAGTGAGTAAAAGGCAGGGAGAGCAGAAATAAGATGCCTGTTCCCATGGTTTTAGAGAAAAGCTAAGACTCTGTGAATGGACATTTTCTTCTGAGAGAACTGGTGAAATAGGAGCTTTGAAAGAGATGAGTTAAAAGATGGGAAGGTAAATTCGTTTGGTGTCTCTGTTTTGTGGACAAGGGTTCTAAGAATGGAGGTTTAATTCAGCGACACAAGCAGAGGTTTACAGAGTTGCTTACCGGAAGTAAATCACTCTGAAAG